TAATATAACTTCAACTAATAAACTATACTTTAATACAATTTAAACTAATAAACGATTTTTAATTATAATTTAATACTAAAAAAATAATTAACTAAATTTTTTATATAATATAAATTCAACAAACAAATATAACTTAATTATTTAACTAACACAAACTAATTACATATTTTTTTATATATAACTAACGACTAACAAACTAACTAATTATTTTTATTAATATATAACTATCAAACATACTAATTAAATAATTTTTTATTTTTATATGATATAACTTAAACTAACAATAATATAACTTAAACTAACAAACTAATTAACTAATTTTTTTGTTTTACCCTAAACTAACAAACTAATACTTTATAATAATAAACTAATTAAAATAATTAAAATTTACCTCACTAGAGCCTTTTCTCCCTTTCTTCTTCTTCCTTTCCTTTCTCTCAGCAGCAATCTCTTCTCCATTTCTTTCTTTTATCGCATGAACGTTAACCCCATATCTCCCATATATAATTTACACCCCTTGCTTCAATTATTTCACCAATAATTATTGAAATCACGGGCTGTAAACAGATCAATAATGCACAAATAATTGATGCATGAAGCAGTTGAATTCACGTTGTAATTGCAGCTATGATAGCTACAGGTTTCACGCGGAATGCAGCGGGGAGCAGTAGGGTAGCAGGCTAGAGGAAATCTGGCAGAACGTTGGTCGCCAAGGAGGTACCTGCTGGCGTGCATAGCGACCTGGTAGGTTGCATGGATGCCCTGGCGACCTTCTTCCATCGCCAACAGCTCGCATGGATGCCCTGGCAACCTTGTTCCTCGTCCTGCGTACATGGCGACCTGCATGGAACTGTAACATTCACCCTATATGAGTAATTAATCCGACCAAAGCATTATCTTGTGAATTAATTATTCCAACAACATTATCCCGTGAGTTTTGCCGACAATAACAATAATATTTCCTGGAATATTAAAAAGGAAGTCTAAAAAGAAACTATTTTTTCTGAAGAAAACCAAAAGGAAGAGATTTTTCTATTGGAAAAATCAGATTCGAGAAAGGGAGAGGAGAAGGTGGAGTTGGATTGAAGAACAAGGGAAGTTTCTCAAAGAACGTGGGACGTGAAAAACATTAACTGAATTCACAAATAAAATATAGAAAGTGGTGCTATTTTCCTTCTTTTGGGTGTCTTTTTTATGGGATTTATGTAGTTTTGTTGGGAGAGTTGAAGAAGCAAAATTGGGTGAGTAATCAATGGGATTCTAAATTATGGCAACTAAAAGTAGAAGAGAAAGTAGAAGAGAAAGTAAAAGAAAGGAAATCTGACTTTTTTATTGTTTGTTTGCTGAAAATAAATGCTAATGGGTTATCATTACAGGGATGGATAGATTAACCTAATATGGAGATGCCATTTATTGCTGATTGATTGGCTTTTTGATGTCGATCATGCTCATTCATCCTTGATGGTTGGTGGGGATTAATCAAAATTTAAAATTTCTATGGAATTCTTCAAAATTAACCAGATTTTTGCATGGGAAACTAAACAGTGAATTTTCATTTCTTTATTGTAATCAAACTAAACAGTGAAACTGAATGTATGCATGTTTTCCCTATTATGTAAACAATCATTTTGTCTTTCGCGATGATATTTATGAATATCAACTACTGCTATTAATAATCATATTTAAATAATCAATGAACTTCAAAGGAAGAAGAAAAAGGAATGAATGAAGTCCTGAAATATTACAAGATATATAATATATATATGTACTTATTATGTTTAGAAAAAGAGAATGGGTGCTAGTGGAAGTGTCTTTTTCAAACAATGCTTGATAGAATATGTTGATGATGGTGAATTTATAAATTAGTAAAATGGTCTATTTTCATATATATATATTACTTCGGGGTCATCATGGATAGATCGAGGGGATAGATGGGATGATCGTTTCCTTTAAAATTTTAAAATTCTTATATATTTTTTATTTTTTATTAATAATATATTTTCATACCCTAAAATTTTATAAATTTATTATTTGTTAAAATTTTATAAGCTCGACCTTAACATAAAATCTTGCATTTATCCATATCAGTATCTTATCTTCTACAGCTCAATTTTATCCACGAGTAGCATAGATAAAATATTAACTGTGACATTGATATTGAGCTTTGAGGGAATAATTCTTTTAAAAATATAATTACTAAAGTAAATTTTAAAATTTTGAGACGTAGATATAATAATTTGAAAGATATAGGATGTTTTTTTTTAAAATACAGAACTATGAAATTAGGATTGAGCTGCTATGTCCTTTTGGAGTTGTTCCAAAATATATTTTGGGGGAGATTCAAATTCGATTGATTATCCTCTCTACATGTCGAATTTTAATCTCCTAATCTTATTTCAATAACTTACGAATATTTTATGTATTGTCTGATTGTATTGGTACAATAATTTAAAAGACGTAGATGTGAATACGTTTTAACACTTAATTTTCTGATATTGGTTTTTCTGGGTCAATTTGCAGTTCACCAACATATGTTTTTAATGTAAAATAAACACACGATAAGAATAATAAATGCAATTTCGAAGTTATCGTATGGTGTAGACTAATTTAGACTTGAGTTTGTTGAATCTGCGTCATGAAATATTAATCTAACACTGTCGTTTTGCATATTTTAGATTTTATAAAATCTTTTACTTGTGAACCAAAACGAACCAAAGTTATAAGCAACGATTTTGAGGAATATATCATATATGATATATGAGAAAGTTTAAGGAGCGACATTTTAATCTAAAGTTATAAAAAAAGGTAATTTTGAATGTAAGTGAAAATGTGATAAAAATCATAACATTTTAAGTTGAGTGCAACTTAAAATGTTACATTTTTACTAAGCGTCGAAATTACCAAATAAAATAATTAATATTCTTAAATAAATATGAAAAAGTAGTATAGAAAATTAGGGTCAATCCATAGGGACTAGAGAAATTAATAGTCGTTTCTGGATTGAGTTATTTTTGGAAAAAAATAAAAAAGGATTTTAGTAATAATAGAAGTGATAAGGTAAAAATAAACTATGAATGAAAAATTGTGAAAGGAAAATAAAAAGTAAAGAATTGTAAAGAATTCGATCGACCATCGAAATATATTTTCTCCTTTAGATACACGTCGGTTACAGTCAACAAGACCCAACCCTTGCAACTAACTTTTCTCTTCGGTTAATTGATATTTCCAAGTCTATTTCTGAAATCCAAGCATTGTTGGACTAACCACTCTATCTTCATTAGCACCAAGATAACTTTAAGTGCTGGAAAAGCCCGACTCGAGTTATAACGTCTCACTGAGAATTGAACTAGATCTTGATTCTCCTTAGCAAACCGCCGTTAAGTTTGGTCACAAGAAGTTGAATTACGACTAACTGATTCGACTCAAACTGTAAATCAAAATAATCCTCAAACCAACATGCATTTTTTGAAGTGAAGTGACTTTTAAATGAATAGTTTATTGCCGCTCCTAGTCTCTAGAGAATCAAAGAATGTATATGAGGTTGTTAAGTGTTACTCAATTCTCACGATTAGAATTGATCACAAAACCTTTGGCAAAGTGAAAATTTAGCTAAGCATGAATTGGATAATGTTTAGTATTTGTTGTGGAAAAGAAAAGAAAATTAAAATAAACAAGAAGATAGAAAGAAAAGGAAATAGAACCTAAATTAAACTAAGGAAAATAACAATTTCAATATGTTTTTCAATAGTGAACTTAAGGGGTAATTATAACCCGAAAATTCTAAAAGATTATCTCTAAGATAATGCAGGATCACATTCTAGAAGATGCTGACTGGACCGTCTAGATATGTCACGTTGAAAAATTCCATGCCTCAAATCGTGCTCATAACACCATCCAAGACTCCTAGAAAAATTACAGATTCCGTATTTTCATTGGTGGTTTTGTCCAATTAATCCAAATGAAGCTCCTCTACGAAAATAAGCCAAAACAGAAATAAATCAATAATATCTAATCGAAAATGAGGAGTAATTAACACTAAATGTATACAATATTCAACGCTTATCACACCCCGAAGTCACCTTTTTTACCTTAAATTAGGTTGTCGCACAACTGAACTACCCATAATATATTTATTTTTTTGGCTAAATAATCATAATAATCTACAACTAACTATTATATGCGTGACTAGAGCCATCTCAAACATTTTCGAGGCCAATAGCAAAACTAAAAAATAAGTCTTTATAGAACGAAAATATATTTATTACTTTAGACAATCAATTTAATATTATATCGATAAATTGTAGAAAAATAATTAAATTTTGTCAAACATTATTTTGTTAAGAAAATACCTTAAATATAACTAAAAGAATAAATAAAAAATTGAATTTAGGTACTATACATATTTTGATTTTGAACAAAAAAATAAAGAATAGTTTAAATATTTGGTTTGTTTAAATCTGGTTGCCACCTGTGGGATGTTGTTCTGGGGAAGAACAATACCATGACAACTATTCTTCTTCTTATTTTTTAGTTTAATTATCGATAGAATATTTCAGATCGAATTTTGTAGAGTTTTATTATGAGAACGATTCACTTAATTTAATTTACTTAATTCGTAAACATCAAAATTTAAATTTATAATTTTGTTTAAGGGGTATTAAATATTAATTTTTAATAAATGATATTTTTTATTATACTTAATATTTATAAAAAATTAACTTCTAAAAAATTAATCGGCCAACGAAAAATGATTTATATAATACCATCCAAGTAGAATAATTTTTAAAAATTAAATTTTAGAAAATATGATTTATTTTTTAAAATCTGTTTTCATGAAATAAACTACCCTTATTTTAATCGTCCGATACATATGGCATCCAAATAAAACTGTCCTCTGACATAGTTCTATATGCATTTTGCTGACTGACTTTTCAGTTGCTCTCCACACTATTGTTTGTTTCATCTTCCATTTTATTTTCCTTCACCATCGACACAAAAATATGAGCTTTACAAAGAAAAAATGTGACCGTCCTTCTTCCTCGCAGGTGAGCCATGTTTATATTATTTTCCTTAAAAGAAAGTTGGTATCTTTCTTTTCATTGATTCATATACGTAGTGTTATCTTTTTTTTTTCATTTTCCATGTTTCTCTGATTCCTACATATCCCACTTTTTGTAAAAATCCGAGCTTTACAAATAGAAAAACTTGGTTTCTTACTCTTTATTTCTTAAAGGTAAAGGATGGTCACATTCATGTCCAAAGTTGTCTCTTTTTCTTTGTTTGATTCGGCTTTGAATGTTATTGTTCCCTGCGTATTTCTTGTAGTTCTCTCTTTGATAATAAGTTTCATTGATTGATGCTCATGCTTTTTATTCTGCGTTTCATTTGGCCTGTTTGTAAGAATGCTCTAGAGAAGTGTGACTGTTTGTTTTCTGGAATGGATTTGTGTTTTAGGAACTGGGTAATTTAGGGGAGCTAAACAATGACATTCCATTTGATGTGCTGTCTCGGTTGCCGACCAAGTACATGCCACGATTAAAGTGTGTTTGTAAAGGGTGGAACAGCCTTATCTCGGACCCCATTTTTATGAAAGTTCAATCCCAGAAGAAAGAACCAGTATCAGGCTTCTTCTTCCAACAAAGATATAGATGGTGCTACGAGGAAAACCCTACTGTAACCTACATCCCTGTTAGAAAACAAGATGCTGAAGCTGAGCTCTTTCTGACAGTGTTGGACTTCCTTCCTGAACATGTTGTGGTGCTGTCTTCGAGCAACGGTCTGGTCTGCTGTCGCAGTTGCTTCCCTAGAGTAGAGCCTTGTTTCTACATCTGCAACCCCTTGAACCATGAATGGATGCGGCTAAAATGGGATGAACCTAATAGAGAAGACAGCTTTGCTTTGGCATTTGATCCATGTAAAGATATTTTAGACACATCAACGAAGTTCAAACTTATCAAAGTGAGGCAGATCGAAACTGAAGCCGATGTCTCGTGCTTCTCGTTCGACATATATGCTTCGGATACAGGGGCCTGGAAGAAATCAGTGGAATCCTGCAAGTGCAGCAGTAACCTTTACAGGAACAGTGGGGTGTATGTGGAAGGGGTTTTCCACTGGCTGACTGATGGTGATGAAGTTCTTACCTTTCATGTGGAGATTGACCTTTCATGGTTGGTATCTGTTCCACTTCCAAAAGAGGAATTCAGCAGCATCCCTGAAGCATGTATAGGAGATTCGGATGGCAAGCTTCATTACATCCTGGTTTCTCAACATGGACTTCAAGTGTGGTGTCTCGACGATTACTTTGAATGCGGGTGGTCCTTGAAGATCTCGAAAACACTCGAGGAAATCGAAGAACAACATGCACAGTTCCTTTACAATTTGCGCGAGAGAGTAACACAAAGGCTGTCTGTTGAAATGGAACCGTGGATTGATCTTTTAGCCTTCAAAGATGGCTATTTACTAATGAGAGTATCTCTGAAGATCATGCTATACAATATCGAGACAAACACATTGCAACTGGTTTGCTCCATTTCCAAGTTGGGTACTGATTCCACCTTTTGCACAGTTCTTCCTTATTCACTCAGCTTGGTTCCCTTGAATTGCAAGTAAATTCAATGAAATTAAAGTTAGATTACACTTTAGAATCGTCTCTGCTGGAACTTCATTATTGTCTTTGTTTGTTCCTTTTTATTTTGTTGTTGAAATGTTTGATACATGAACTATCTATCAGATTTGCTAATGTACATAACTTGAACTTCCAGAGCTTAACACTTCGTTTCCACTAACGTTTGATAATTTGTGTTTATATGCTCTATTGGAATGTAATCTAAAATTAAAAAATGATTTTAAAATGTTATTTTTATATATTTTTGACAAACTCCATTTTTATTATATACTGATTTCAAGCAATTATAGGTTGCTAAGATCATGTTTTAATAATTAAAAAAAAAGCTTAGTCCATTTTAGTAAATTGGTTTCCGCTAATCATATAAATAATTGCTTCAGAACTCTCACTGCTTTGAAGCCTTCAACTTTTTCTTATAATTTAAAGTGATAATAAGATAATAATTATTTACAATTAGGGGTGTTCAAATTTTCGAACTAATTCGGTTAACCGACCGAATTGAATTAGTTCGGTTAATTCAGTTGGCCACCGAATTAGTTCGATCGGTTAACGGTTAAAAAAAAATTTAGAATTCGGTTAACGGTTAATTCGGTTCGAAATCGGTTAATTAACCGAATTAACATAATTAACCGAAATTAAATTTTAAATTTTAAATATATTATATATAACATATGGGCTTAGCCCAAACCATTTAAAACCTAATTAATAATTTAAGATTCAATAACTTTTAAACCTAAATCAATATTAATTAATTAAAAAATTATATAAAATTTTTATTTTATAATTATATATTATTTAAATTAATTGTAAACTGTTTTTTTGAATTAAAAAATATTAAATATATTATATATAACATATGGGCTAAGTCCAAACCATTTAAAACCCAATTAATAATTTAAGATCTAATAACTTTTAAACTTAAATCAATATTAATTAATTAAAATTTTATATAAAATTTTTATTTTATAATTATATATTATTTAAATTAATTATAAACTATTTTTTTGAATTAAAAATATTTAATTTTTATATAAATTCGAAATTCTAAAAAAATTTGGTTAATTCGAAAATTAACCGAACTTTATTCGATTCGGTTAATATTTTCGAAAAAAAGTTCGGTTCGGTTAACGGTTAAAGAAAAAAAAATTCGATTAATTCGATTAATGATAATTCGATCGGTTCGACCACCGAATTAACCGAATGAACAGTTCTATTTACAATTTATCTTCACTATTAACAATATATCTCGTAACTATTTAAATCTAAAAAGAATAATATTTCCTTTCTATAATACCATTTAAAGCCCATATATCTTCAGTAGACAGGCCCGCATGCAGCCCAATTTCGTGTTTAGATAAAATCTTGCACAGTAGCTGCGTCGGATTTGAATAGAAGTGTTTGGAATCTACTACTCAAAAACCTCTGTAGAAACCCTTGCTTTTCGTTTTCATCTTTCTTCCTCTTCTTTCCTTTGTTCAGTGCTTCAAGGTACCTTCTTCTCCTTACATTTTTTCTTCTTTGTGTTGCTTATTTATCATTTTGCTATTTTGGTTTTTTTATGAACAGATCTTTTGTTTTCCTCTTGGATTACTTGCCCATGTTGAAAAAAGCGTTATCCTGAGTTGTTTTCTTGCTTTTTTCTTTTAAGGAGGAGCTTCTTAATTAAACCCTGGCATGAAATAAAATAATTAAAAGGTTTGTGACATCTCTAGCTGGAGGAAATTATCTGGGTTTGGACTTATATGAACCTTTTATTGGCTATTGTTGTTTCTCATCTGGGTTTTAGTATTGAATCATAGAGATAATTTAGGTTATTTAGTTTTTATTCTTTGTGCCCATTTTTGTATCCAATTCTTAGTAGAGTTCAGTTGGGTTTTGTTACACATTTCATTTATTTCTTTTTGAATTAATTTCGCTTTTCATGTGGCAGATTTAGGGATTTAAGCAATGGATGATAACTTGTATGATGAATTTGGGAACTATATCGGACCTGAGATCGAGTCCGACAGGGAGAGTGAAGGTGAGGAAGAAGAAGATGAAGATCTCCTTGACAGGCATGCCCAAGAGGAAAGAGAAGAATCTGATGGTGAGGCTCAACCTGGTGCGTCTAATGGATGGATTACAGCTGCTGATGATGTTGATATGGACAATCAGATTGTCCTTGCTGAGGACAAGAAGTATTACCCCACTGCTGAAGAGGTTTACGGTGAGGATGTCGAGACCTTGGTTATGGATGAAGATGAGCAACCCCTTGAACAACCTATTATTAAGCCTGTTAGGAATATCAAGTTTGAGGTTGGAATTAAGGATTCTTCAACATATGTATCGACCCAGTTTCTTATTGGTTTGATGTCAAACCCGGGTTTGGTTCGGAATGTTGCCCTTGTTGGACACTTGCAGCATGGCAAGACGGTGTTTATGGACATGTTGGTTGAGCAAACCCACCATATGAAAACATTTGATGAAAATAGTGAGAAGCACATGAGATACACTGATACAAGAATTGATGAGCAAGAGAGAAGGATATCTATCAAGGCGATTCCTATGTCACTTGTTCTTGAGGATAGTAACTCGAAATCCTATCTTTGTAACATCATGGACGCTCCTGGTCATGTGAATTTTTCTGATGAAATGACTGCTGCTCTTAGGCTCGCTGATGGTGCTGTGTTGATTGTTGATGCTGCTGAAGGAGTGATGGTAAGCATATCTTGCATGCGTATCATACTATTTTAAATGCATTAATGATCAATTATCTTGTTCTTCTTCTTATGATTATGGTTGAGACCCACCTAATATATAACTAGAAATATGAATTGTTTTTATGAATCTTTGGAGGTAAAAGTACGCATAAAATGGACCTAAAGAAAATGAGTATTCTGAGGTTTATTGCAATTAAATTACACCACGCTTAATCAAATCTTTTCAAATCCACGGTTACAATACGTTGTAGCTGCTTTCTGTAGAATGTGTGAATAATGAATTATGAAAATGAACCAATATGTGCTGTTCTAAGCAATACATTTGCCTTCCTGTTTTTGAACAGGTAAACACTGAGAGAGCTATACGCCATGCAATACAGGAGCGCCTACCTATTGTTGTTGTTATAAACAAGGTAACTCTTTTTACCTTATTTATCCCCAAGTTTTTCTGATGAAAATGATGTTCCACATCTTATTCCTGTAGTCCTGCTCAATTGTTTTTTACATTTTTAGGTTGACCGGTTGATAACAGAACTTAAGTTGCCCCCCAAGGATGCTTACCATAAATTAAGGCATACCCTGGAAGTAATCAATAACCACATATCTGCTGCTTCTACAACTGCTGGTAATGTTCCTGCTATTGACCCCGTTTCTGGAAATGTTTGTTTTGCTAGTGGAAGTGCAGGATGGTCTTTCACTTTGCAGTCATTTGCAAAATTATATGTCAAACTCCATGGAGTTCCTTTTGACGCTGAGAAGTTTGCATCTCGTCTTTGGGGTGATATTTATTATCATCCTGATACTAGGACTTTTAAAAGGAAACCTCCTCCTGGCGGAGGAGAACGATCATTTGTCGAATTTGTGCTTGAACCCCTTTATAAGATATATAGCCAGGTGATTGGTGAACATAAGAAGAGTGTAGAGTCAACCCTTGCAGAGTTAGGTGTTACGCTTAGCAATGCTGCTTACAAGTTAAATGTTAGGCCTTTGCTAAGACTGGCTTGCAGCTCAGTTTTTGGTTCTGCTTCAGGCTTCACTGATATGCTGGTTCAGCACATACCATCTCCCAAGAATTTTGCACCTAAGAAGGTTGATCACGTATACACCGGACCTAAACATTCAATGATGTACAAGGCAATGGTAGATTGTGATCCTTCTGGCCCCCTTATGGTTAATGTGACCAAACTGTACCCCAAGTCCGATTGTAGTGTTTTTGATGCTTTTGGTAGAGTCTACAGTGGTAGAATTCAAACAGGACAAACTTTGAGAGTACTGGGAGAAGGCTATTCACCAGATGATGAGGAGGACATGACAATCAAAGAAGTAACCAAATTATGGATTTACCAAGCTCGATATAGAATACCTGTAAGCAGTGCTCCTCCTGGTTCTTGGGTTCTCATTGAAGGTGTTGATGCTTCAATTATGAAAACTGCCACCCTTTGTAATGTGGATCTTGATGAAGATGTATACATATTCCGGCCTTTACAATTTAATACACTTCCTGTTGTAAAAACAGCAACTGAACCTTTGAATCCCAGTGAGTTACCCAAAATGGTGGAGGGACTTCGAAAGATCAGCAAAAGCTATCCTCTAGCCATTACTAAAGTTGAGGAATCTGGTGAGCACACTATATTAGGTACTGGAGAGTTGTATTTGGACTCAATCATGAAAGACCTTAGGGAGCTATATTCTGAGGTGGAAGTTAAGGTATCTAGTTTCTCTCACTCCTTATACTATTTTTATTATTTCTTTCTGAAATTTGTTTCTCTATTATGGGTTGTGCTTAAGTTAATATGTGCGCTTTCATTTCTTATGCTTCCTATAATAGGTGGCAGATCCTGTTGTTTCATTCTGTGAAACAGTGGTGGAGTCTTCCTCCATGAAATGCTTTGCTGAAACACCCAACAAGAAGAATAAGATAACCATGGTAAACCAGCCATCTAAACTCTTCGTTAATTGATATGATTTTAGGAATAATTACCTGGTTGTACTTGCATTCAGGCTGTATGATCAAAATGCTTTTCCATGATTTTAAGATTGCAGAGCCATTGGAGAGAGGGCTTGCAGAGGACATTGAGAATGGTGTTGTAAGTATTGACTGGAGTCGGAAGCAACTTGGTGACTTCTTCAAGACAAAATATGACTGGGATTTGCTTGCTGCACGTTCTATCTGGGCATTTGGCCCTGATAAGCAGGTAACAGAAGTGCAATTCTATTGTTTCTAACCTAATCCCGGGCTTGGTGATTCTATCTTGTTCCTATTGTTTAAAGAGCAGAAAAATGGA